GACTCCTCCCAGATATCCTGGTGTTGCCCTGTGTCGTGGAGATCCTGCAACTTTGGATCCCGTGCCCACGCCAGCGGGGCCAGCTCTATGGTACAGCTCTAGGTGCCAGGCCTGCTCTCCTACTCTCATGACCTGGGGCTCAGCATTCCCTCTTGCCTCAAGTGGAGAGAAATTAGGAGACAATCTCTTCCTTGTCCACACAACCAAACATGAATGACAGGGCCAGCTCTCCTATACCCACAGCCTCAGCACCAGCTCACCTGAGCCCCTGACACCAGGGCCAACTCTACTGTGCTTCCTGGGTGAGGTGTAGAACCCGGCTCTCCCAAGTACTGCAGTTGGTGAGGGGTGGGGCCAGCTCACCAAGGATGCCCAGAGGGGTGGGGCTAGCCCTTAGCCATTAACATGGCCACAGGTGGCAGCTCAGACCAGGGACATCCACCTGGCCTTTGGTGGTAACAGAACCCTGCTACTGTAGGGCCATGGGCCCAGACATGGCTCTTGGTGGCAGCACAAGCCAGCACCTCACCATGACCTTACGCTGTATCAGCAGCTGGTTATATCAGGCTATTCTTCCCTACCTTCAAGTCTCCAGTTCTGCCTCTCTTTATGTGTACACATCCTTCTGCTTCTCTTTCTCTTTCTTCTCTCTACCTTTCACTTGCTCACCTCAGTGGTGCCTGTGGCCTCTGGGTGTGTGGGCTCATCTCAGGAGTACTATGCCCCATCTGTGTTCTGTGGAAGCAGGCAGGGTTCATCTCAGGCTTGTTCCTTGCCCAAGCCCCCTGGCACTGGACTGTGGGGGGGTTGTATTAGGCTTGCCCCTCACCCAAACACTGATGGATTGTCTCAGGCTTGTTCCCTGCTCAGGCCACATGGCATCAGAACAGGGAGTCATCTCAGGCATGGTCTGCCTACGTAGGCCTCATGGTGCTAGATGGTGGGTTGTCTCAGACCTGCAACCAGAACAGACCCTGTGGTGCCAGGCTGCGAGGACAGCTATCTTATTTTTGTTATCGCATTAAATACTATAAATTAAAATAACAATAATAATACCAATAATAATACAACAATTATTTGCTACTTCCTGTTGGGTCAAATTTAAACAACTGAGCCCTTAGTTTATACTTTAACAGCCATACTACTCAAAGCAGAATACACAGCAGTTGCATTTTCCCCCCAGGTAAAAATTATAATAATGAGGGTCAAAAGATGCTCTTCCAAACTATTAGGCTGCTGGAGAAAATGCTTACTACGATGTAAGACATGTAGCTCTTTTTTTCTTAAATGAGGAGTATAGAATATCATTCTCTTTATAGGCCAGCGTGGAGCAGAACAGCATGGACAGCTGCACAGACTCTCACTCCCCATACTGTGCTTTCTAACTCCACCTCTCCCAGAGCACAGCTTTTACCAAACACTGTGCCACTATCCCACTTGGATTATATCTCTACAATCTGTGTCAGTTTTTCACTTCTCACTCCCTGGCCAGGCCATAAAACACAAATATCAGCTTTCAGGTACAGTGGCTTGGGGACTATTTCCAAGGACATATTTCTGTATTCAACAGGATGGACTAGATCACGTTGCAGTACTCAACAGTGGCCAATCTCAGTGGCTCAGCACTTGTCCACACTATGTGTCCAGTGCCCTGGATGCTGGGTTCATCTCATCCCACATGCCCCAGCAAGGTACAAGGTTCCACGTGGCTTACTTCTCATTGCAAACTAAAAGCATCTACACAGATGAGACATGTACCACTCTGATGCACAAATTTATTGTTCTAAGCAACTCACGTGACTATAAGGGGTAGCAGGATCGATAACCCATCTCCCGATTTCGCTCATCAGTCTCTCCCTTAACCACAGGTAATGTTCTCTTTTTGGTTAAAAAAAAACAACAACAAAAACCAAAAATGTATTTGGAAAATAGAATCCCAAGATGCTTCCTATGAAAGGCAAAGCAACTGTGTCTATGGAGAATAAATACAGACACCGATGACACCATGAGCATAAAGCTGCTTGTGCTGTCTGCTCTTTGACTTTGGACAAGACAGTGTAAATGGCAGCTGGTAAGCTCCCAGAAAAAAAAATGGAAGTATAAAAAGATTTTCATTCTTAGATCTTTATTCTTTTAAATTATAAAACAATTTGGGGACTAGCATTGGAAGCCGTCGGTGAATACTCTCCTTTGCATCTACTATTTCCATACACAGTCATAATTCAGTTCTTCATTGCGAAGTTTCTCTACCACTGTGTCAAAATGCAGCCAGACAGTCGCAGGCGATGACACAGGCGCGTACCTGTGAGTTAAGAGAGCAGTAACTTCGCTAGAACAAATTGCACGTTGTATAAGCCTCAGTGTTGTTAAGTCTGCTGCAGAGAACCACACTGCTACCCACCACAGTTCTTGACGCCTCTCCTGCTCCTGCATAGAGCTTAAACCATTGTTAAAAAAAAAATAACTGAAGCAAAATCAAAAGGAAACATCCCCTTTTGAGTGGGAGACATGAGGTATGAAAATATTCCCTTTTATTACTGAGATGGTATTTCAAATATCAATTTTTTTTATATTTTATTTCTTATAGCTAAAAAGAAAACCAAATGCCCTTTCTTTTAGCTAAGTTCCTTTCATATGACATACATGAACACGAGGGAAGATTCCTTTGCTTCCCACATGATTTCCGTGTTCAATAATTTGCATCAGATTTTAGTTTTTAAAAATCATGATACTGCTGTCAAGATAACTTAGCCAGACCAAAATGTATGAAATGAAAAAAAAAATTCTTAAAATGGAATTTAAATGTTTCTTTCATTGTTTCATGCTCTGTGGTTTGAATTACTAATTTTGAATGACAGGCAAAGAACAACATTCAAATATATCACATACTAATAATTTGTTTGAACAATGAACAATTTTAATTTGCTCTACAGTTAAAATTACATTTTTTGCCAATAACCATAAGTAAATTACAACTTTAAATCAATGAGTATTGGGAGTATGTCATCACATACAATAAAATAAGGTCTTTGTATAAAAGAGATAGACAGTGCACAGACCTGAGTGGGGAGTTTCAAGGAAAATGATATTAAGATGCTTGAGGAAGAATCTTGCATGGATTCCTTCCTCTGTAAGAACTGTCGTTAAGAATATCACTGGAGGGCCGAGGTGGTGGTTCACATGGTAGAGTGATTGCTGCATAAACACAAAGACCTGAGTTCAAGGTTCAGCCCCTACAAGGTTCAGCAGAGCATGGAGGTGCATGCCCGTAACTCCAGCCCTGGGGAGGCTAGGGCAGGAGGGTGCCCAGGGTTTAGGTTTGCTGTCTGAAAAAGTATAGTTGGGAGGAAGAAGAGATAGGGAGGAAGCTTCAGGGGACAGGCTGGGGATTGGACTGGATCAAAACCTATGCGTGAACAAAATTTTCAAAGACTAGAAAGAATTCTTAAAAACGAATAGATGAAGAGCTACTGAAAAAGACAGCCAATATTAACTCTTGCCTCCACACACGCACACATACACACACACACACACACACAACCCCATTACATCCGCATCCCCTCCCATGCACACCCACACCAAACCAAATCCAAATAAAGCAAAGAAAGAATAGCTAATGAAACAGTCCCAGGGGCGGCAGATCTCTGTACGCAGGGGCCCTCTGCAGGACTCGGCCCTGGTACCTGGCAGTGTATAACCCACCGCGGATTTTCTTTCATCAGTGCAATCTGTATATACATAGTAAACGGGTATTGTTTTAAGAGAGGCACCACACTGACACCTTTGAAATCAGAGTCCGTCTCCTTTCACACCATCACACTTGAAACCATTGTAGCGAATTACATAGTGTAGAAAGATCCCCATAATCTCAAGGTCTTATGCAGAACAATTAGCTGAAGAAAAATTAAAGATGATTACTTGAAAAGAGGCACGTCAGTTCTCCTAGACACCATCATTTGTAATGACTAATGGCCTCAGAGACTTATGCCTGTGATAACTGTGCCTGCTCTCCAGGGATGAAATGAGCAAACAGACAGAATACCAAGTCCACAGTACTTTGCCTGAGCTCAACTCCGTCAGTAAGTATTTGCTACATTGTTATATAATGTCGGGGATGCTACATAAGGAGCCTATACACAGACAACATAAATGCAGGTTAAAAGCACCATAAAAACAGTCCAGGCTCGTGATGCCCAGGAGTGAACGGCAGCCACAGAATCATGCTCTTTTCACTTACGGAAAACCCACTGGTCTACTTGGTAAGAACTGAGTTCAAATGTTCCATATCACAGCAATTTTTAACAACAGCGCTACACTGCAAAAGTTATGTTGAGTATCTTCCCCAAGTTCTTAATTGCCATTATTTTTGTAGCAGTCTCATCTGTAAAAAAGTAAAATGGAACTAATGTCTAAGAATAAACAGATATTCCTTATCTCGTTTCTAAAGGCAGATATGCAGGCTCTCATTTTCCAGCACGAACTGCCATCAATTCCAGTGTGTCTGATCATTAGTGTACATAACTTTTCTTTAAGAAAGAAAGCTGCCATGGGAAATAACCCAGAGCCAAAATCAAAGCCCTTTGATTGCTTTGATGTTGCTGAGGCAGGAAAGGAAATCATGGAAAGAGGAAACGCCGAGGAGCCGGACACACTTTATGGAGAGGCTTTCTCCAGGTGGCCTTCACATCCTTACAGTGAAGCCAGGCCTGCAAAACGGCCTGGGTCGTTTGTCTACACAGGAGGTGGCTTCATACGTCACATACACCTGATGAAAACCCGTTTACCTCAGGTCAAGCCATATATCACTTTTCTTTCTTATGAATGGGCTCCTGAGCAATAAACAAACTGAATAAATCTGTAAAATATGATAACGATTTTCATGGGACAGCAGAGCCTTCCTAAATAGAACTCTACACAGCTAATGAGAATTAAACTCAATTCAAGGGCTTTAGTAAATGGAGCAGAATATAAATAAATAAATAAACAAGGCAGTTTCCTACCAGAATAAGATGATTCTAACGTTGCCTTTCTTCCAGAAAGCTCTTGCCGATTTCCCCCAGTCGGGGTAGGGCTTGTCTTGAAGCATCATGTCAGTGACCTGAGGGGGAGAGGAACTGACTTAGCATCTGAGGACATCTCAAATTCAGATTTCAGTGCAATACAAGCATGAAATTGACATCTCCTGGGAACAGAATATGTGCATTTAAATGTTAGACTACGTGAAGAAATACAAATTAGAAGTGTGTCCTTCATTCAATTAAAAAATGTAAGAACATGGTTGACTTTACACCCTGAATGAATCTGTATCAAGTTATTCAGCATGTGACATGCTGACACTGCTTTTAAATTACTAATTATAATTTACAGGATTTTTTTTCAATTAAACTGTTTCATTGAAGCTATTAACCTATATCCTCTGTCTGAAATAGTGGGTTTCATCACTGCATTTTACACAGGTATACAGTGTTCTTCAGTCATGTGAACCCCGCCCCTCTCACTTGATTGCCACCTCTTATAGGGCAGTACCTGCGATTAATAAAGTCTTCTTAGGATATAAATATGAATACATATTCATATCTATGTTATTCTTAAGTGTTTCTAAATCATAAGGTTCAAAACAGAACTTCCAAATCCCAAATTCAAATGATTTTACCTAAACCCTTACTGTTCTCTCTCTCTCCTTTTTCCGTTCATCTGTCTGAGGCTTTTGCTGACTCGCCTCACACTCACCCCTGAAGTAGTAAATAAATACTACATGAGAAAAACTTTCCTGCCTTACTTTCTGTTACTCTGGTAGAGCACTTCCTCCCGTTTATGACGCATGTGTTCTAATTAGCCAGCACCCTCCCATCTACAACTCCGTAACTTCCAAAAGCATCCTCCCTTTTTCTGGCTCCTGCACAGACGATGCCCCTCTGCTGAGGCCTGGGCACAGCTGTGCTCCTCCATGCAGCCTCCGCTGTTGCTCCAGTGCCCACAACTCGTGAGCGCAGACTCAGCTTCTCATGCCACACCCCATTCTGTTTCTCATTTTAACACTTTTCTGTTCGTTCTCTTAGCCTCTAATATCCCCAACAGTCAGTGTTTATCTTTGCAACCTCTCTAATGTCCAAGGATTGTTCACACAGTACTCCAAAATGTTTACACCAAAAATAAATGACAAAATGAATTAGTAAATGTATGTTTATTTTAAAAGACTCATTAACAAAGAAAATTGCTCATTACCCATACAACACGTTAATGCTTTCTGAAAATGTTCAGCTACTAGCTTGCTACATGAACGTTTAAAAAGCCAGTAGACATGGGAAATGATTTCCCTAAAGAGAAAAATATGGTTTGGTCTGCATACATCCATACGCATATGAAAATTTATACTCCATCAAACAGACCTCATTCCATTAGTTTTGATTTTAGTTGATAGTGCTCAAATTCAAACATCCAGTGTTTTAGTAAGGGTTACTATTGCTGCGATGAAACACCATGACTGAAGCAACTTGGGCAAGAAAGGATTTATTTACCTAACTCTTCCACATCACTGTTCATCACTGAAGGAAGTCAGGACAGGACCTCAAACAAGGCAGGAACCTAGAGGCAGGAGCTGATGTAGAGGCCATGGAGGGGTGCTCTTACTGGCTTGCTCATCATGACTTGCTGAGATAGAACCAGGACTATCAGCCCAGGGATGGCCTCACTCCCAATAAGCTAGCCCCTCCTCTATCAATCACTAATTAAGAAAATACCATACAGGCTTGCCAACAGCCCCGTCAGATGGAAACATTTTTTCAACTGAGGTTCCCTCCTCTCAGATAATTTTAGCTTGTGTGAAGTTGACATGAAACTAGCCAGCACTCACAATGCAGATTCAAAATTAAAAAATGTACTATAGAGTATAATATATTGTACAAAGAAGAATTTTGAGCACCCATTAAGAAATACTCCTGTGCTCTCAGCTTTGGTCAGACAAGCTTCTTTGTGCAGGGGTCAGTGGTAATTTCATAACCAAAGTGATGACGGCAAGTGACAGCTAAATGGACAGCCATAAACAGGACACCTACATCACCACTTCCAAGGCTCAGGGAGCCTTGGAGAAGAAGCAGAAAGAACTGAAGAACTCTGGGAAAGGCTCAGTTCCTCAGACTCTCAAGCTTGTTGATACCTGTGGAGACAACTAATGCTGATAATTCAAAAAAAGAAAGACATGTATTTGATTTACTTTTATTTGTGTGTGCATGTGTATATACATGTATACATGTATATACATGTATACACATGTGTGGAGGTGTGTGAGCGGGTGTGTGGCACACAGAACAGAAAAAGACATCAGATTGGCTAAAGCTGGAGTTACAGGCTTTCATGAGTGACTGGACACAAGTGCTGAGAACCTCGGGCAAAGCACCCAGTGATGTTAACTGCCAAGACCTCTCTCCAGACCCTTCTACTGTTAAAATAGACCTAGTAACTGGTTAGTTTCTCAGTTGCTTGGTCTGCTTTGACCTTTCCCAATTACAAATTTTTATTTCTCACCAATAGTGTGAATATAGATTACATTTCTCTCAAAGAAGATTCAAGATATTTATTGACATGATCAAAGAAAAGAGATAAGAGTAAAAGGCATGACTTGGGTGAACTGTATTGTCAGAAGAATAGGCAAAATAAAGGAATTTAAATTCGTACACACAATCTCAGACGAGAACTTCCTTGAGAACAGGTGACAATTTCAGTCACTTCCCCTTCATAACCCTTGCAGAGAACAAGTCTTGTGTCAAGGGTTTTAACAAAACATCAAGGTTTTTATTCCATGCTTAACTAGATTAAGAGATAATAATAAGATTTCATTACTTCTTTTCATCAGTATGTCTTCTGTTCTTGAGGAGCATACATGATAATAAATATTTTCATGTAACAAAATGATTACTGGGTGTGTTTTATTCCATTTTCATTGCTTGTGCCAGGCTAATTTCTGAGAAATACTTATCATATTTCCTAGAGAGCAGTCATCTGCAAGTAGATGACCAGTTATTACGCAGCTTGTTTGGTAAAAACCACATCCAGGGATAAGGCATTTTCTCAGGAAAACGATAAGATCGAAGCTAAGAAACCACCTCTTAGATGCAAGGCAGCTGGTCTTTTTCACCCCAGTTCCTGCTCTTTATTTTAAGTCGTGGGATCGGATTGATGAGAAGTCACTTACAGCTAAATTGGCAGTTGCAGGGACAATCATTAAAGTGGTGCATTCAATAAGGAAAAAATCCAATTACTTTCTGCATTAGAGAAATCAAATTTATTTCTGGTGTTGGTCAAGGGCAGTCTTTACGGGGAAAGATGCAGGGAAGGAAGAATGGAGGGTATGTGGATGGGGCTGCGCGGTGTAAACACAGTGCAAGACTGTGTGTGGCATAAATGCAGTAAGCGCCTGTTGGCGCTTCCCTCACAGTTAGACAGTGCAATGCGAGATTGCAGAGCTGTTTTCCTAAGCAGGGAGAAACATGTTTAACTCTTTGGGTCTCACAGCCCTCCTCTTCACTTTCCCGTCAACAAGGTTTCAGCACAGGACACAGAACCTCACATTTGGCACTTACAGAATTGGGTCAGATAGTTTTCTCGGGAGAACACAGACTACTTCAGGACCTGCGTATTGTGCGGGCTGCGTGAGAAAATAGATTTTAAAAGTCATCAAATGGTTGTAGAGACAACCTATCTGTGTGTGGACAAAGTGACCCCTTTCGTAAGATGCTGTAGCGACAACAGCATGGAAACACCAGTGACGCCATGCGGGGTTCACACTTGCTGCAGAGCTCAGTGGGATATAAGCCATTAGGGGCAACTTTCTTACTAATTGTCACAGTAACTTCACACTCTCATCTTTTCACTCAGAGAGGGAAAACAGCCAGGGAGATGAAACAATAGAGCTGGGTCACACCTAATACGTTGTTTTACACACCATTGCTGGGCAGGCTGCTAATCTGACCTTCTTCAGGCTGTGTTGGCGTTTGTGTCAGGGCAAAGCAGCCTCTCCCTTTGAGCTGAATTCCTCATTGATCACCTTCAAGCATACAAGGCATCAGTGGGAATACTGGTCCCCCCTTGTTCTGCATCCTCTGAACCATCTTGTGTATTGTCTTACTTTCTCATTCATTGAGCATTTAACAGCTCTATTTTATTTATTTAAATTACATCTCTTAGCTACAAACAGTGAAAAATAGGAACTCTTATTCTGTCTCACACATCATTTCCATGTTGTTATGGTTTAGGAATTTTCTATATTCTGCATCCCTTTAACACTGGCCCACAAGCTAATTAACTCAAAGGCATTTTCCAGTCTTTCATCCAGAGTCTGTCTACTGTTTGCAGTAGCTGAACTACTTAGAGAACTAAGTAGTTAGTAGTTCAAAGAGAGGATCTTCAAGAAGACACAATTACAAAACAAAAACTTGGCCACAACCAACCTGTCTACCTTTTTTCCACTGTTTGCTATTATTGTTTCCATTTGTATTAGTATGTTTCTGAGCCAGGGTCTCACTATGCAGCTCCTGATCTGACCTGGAATGTGCCGTGTAGACCAGACTGGCCTCAAATGCATGATCCCCCTGCCTCATCCTTCCAGGAGGGCATGCTTATTCTCATTAGGCTGAAAGGAAAACTGGCCCACAGTATTATCTTCAGAACAAGAGGCATTGATCTTCTTCACTATTGTGTTGCTATTGAGTGGCACCAGATGGGGAAGAAAAGAAAGAAAAAGAGGAAACTGATACTATTGCTTTCATTTCCAGGTAAATCATCTGTTGCAATCCTTGGTTGCTCAAATGTTTTCTTTTGTATTTTGAGTGTAATGTTTTGGTGTGTTTTTTTTTTCCCAAGGTGTAGTAACAGCTGCTGCAGCAGGTCTTTGGGGACCCTATCTGTAACTTCTGCTTCCCTTCTGTGTTATTTACTCCTATCCCTTAGGAAAACAACTAAGAACATGCTGGTTTGCTCAGTCTTTGATGTCTTTTCCGCTTCAGTTGTCAGTCCTGCTTATTTAGCCAAAATCCATACTGTGTGTTTGGCAGTGTGTGATTCAGAACTACAGAAATATAATTTGACCTTTGTTTCCCTATT